TGTTGGCGGGGGCGTGCGGGCCGGGGGGTCGGGGCGGGGGTGGGGGGGGGCCGGGGGCGGGGGGAGACGCATATTTCTAGCTCGAGACACTTCAACACTCCTTTCAGATCGTGTTTCACAAAAGCGAATCGGGACAAGAAACACTCGAATCTGGTGCTAAATTTACTTACTTGCATAGCTCATATTTATAAGGAAAATGTTGTCAAAAATTGTTTTGAAGTAGTACAACTAACCTCAACAAAAAACTGTAACCTTTCACGAGTTATGAAAAACCAATATTGCAGTTTTGTCAATGGTTGAAACTTTCAGAGTGCACTGAATTACGAGACATGCATCTATAGTATAAGTATGAGAGTAAATGACACTAGTGTGAAGGAGTAATCGAAGAAAATTGCATGCAGTTTATTCTTGGCTAGGGAAATAAATATATTGTTTTTTTTGTCATAACTTGGAAAATGTTAGTTTCTCGTTGAAGTTAGGAATACTACTTCAAAACAATTTTTGACAACGTTTCCCTTATAAATATGAGCTATACATACTTCTTTATCAGTGGTAAAAATATCAGCCCATTTGGTCAAAATATAGCGACGATATGTGTTCAAACTTTTCTTTGCTTTGTTACTTTCTGGGCACTATAAGTAAAAAAAATCGTCTGATGACCTATTCGAATAATTGAACAATTTCTATTTATTGATTTATCATATAAATAAATAAAAAATTTCAACAAGCAATTTATATTCTTAGAAGACATTCATCATTTTCAATTTTCGTTAGTTTTATGTAAGACTTTAGCAGTTTTATTTCTGTTGTTTAACTTAGTAACATATCGTATCAAATGAAAATCTGATGCTTTTATGTTATGTTAATTGAGGGTGTGAATGTGAGTATGGATGTGTGAATGAGTGTGGGTGAACAGAAAATCGACATCCACATTCATAACGATCAGATGTATTCAAAAGAATTTACTTTTATTTAAATAGCGCGACCACTTATTTATGATTAAGAGAGTGTTCATAAGGAGACCAATAAATTGAGACATTCGTCAAAATTTCTCTTTTATTAGTTTTTTATGGACAGTCGAAAGATCATCATCTACATGTAGATTTTTTCACTGATGAAATCTTTTCGTAAACTTGTTGATCGTATTGTTAGTGCAAAATAATCAATGAAAATCTATTTACTGATCATAAATACCATGTGGGCCAAAAGTTATGCGACATTTCTTATTTCATATATACCTCGACTTGAAAATGCTCAAATCTTGATTTGTTTTTGAAAAAATGCGGCATGAGAAGCTCTACAAAAACTGTATAAACAAATCCCTATTAACTGGTTCTGATGGTTTTTCTCATACTCAATATGAACAATCTACATGATAGTACTACTTCCCAGCGGATTGAGCATAATAAAAATGTTTGGAAAACGTTTTTGTTTTCCATTGGGAATTTGTACAAAACGATGGCGTAGAACTTTCGATGATGCATCTTTCAAAAAACAAATCAAGATGTTATCATTTTCTTAGACCGACATATATGCAAAACAAAAAAGCCTTCCAAACATACTAAACGGTAGCGCTATCATGTAGGTTGTTCATTTTGAGTATGGAAAAAATCATCACAACCAGTTAATAAGGTTTTCTTTATACAGTTTTTGTAGAGCTTCTCATGGTGCATTTTTTTCAAAAAAAATCAAGATTTGATCATTTTCTCAAGTCGAGGTAGATATGAAATTAGAAATGTCGCATAACTTTTGGCTCACCGGATATATATTTAATCAAAATATACATATTATGGATTTATTTTCTATCATTAGTGTGTTTTTTTAAAGATGAATTGGTTTTCGAATGAGACATTCAGAAATCACTGATGTGCTTTATTCGTCATAAAAATTTTTAGTGTTGAAATAAAGATTGACATTACAAGAAAAGAAAAAAATCCTCGTCTTATCAAACAACAAAGACGCACTCAAATTAT